ATATATATATATATAAAATAAAATATTTCTGCACAAAAGTTAACTTAATTAAATATATATTATGTGAAAATTATGCGTAAGGAAATGGTTTTCAAACTGTGAGGCGCGCCTCCTTAATGGGTCTCCAAATCCTTTCCAGGGAGGCGCGTAGAAAAGCCATTACAGTATTATAATTATGGCTACAAAGTAGTCATTTCATCATTAAAATTTGATTTCATTTAGCTTTTTTTTCTTTTTTTATTTTTATTTTAACTTTACTAGAATAAAGCTATAGGTCAGTGACGTTGGTTAAAGATCAACCAACCGCTCTGGGAGACTCGAAATCGAATCCAGGAGGAGACCTACTGGAATTTATTCATGAGCATATCCGGGGGACAGACTCTCCCCGAATATGTAATGCTCCGTCCCTCATCATCTGGTCACCCGACTGTGGACTTGGCCAAACATATAATAAGTATGATTAGCTCTCTTAGTGCCCGTAGGGCTGAAATAGTCAACAATTAAACAGCTAGAGGTCAACACAGAGGAAGCGCAAGATTTCTTACAGAAAAAAAGGGGCATCTCTTTAACTACTTTAGAGATTTATACGGTGAAAGAAATTCAATAAAGTTTCACAAAAACGCTCCATTTTTTATTTATAACGTTACGAGTCAGCGAAATGGCCTTGTTATCTAGGCCTAGAGTGCCTGGATTCGAGTAGTAGGCTGATGATGCCTTGACCGCTTCGGCCATCCGGCCATCTAACAAAAAAAAGCATTATTAATTAAGTTCGTGTTGTATTTATTCGTACGAAATATGCAAAATTCATCGACATATATGCCATTCCTTAACTTTTCGGTCTTGAAGGCACTAAGAGAACTTTAGTTCATGCCATTATGGATTCGGACAAGTCCGTAATGGGAATGATTAAACAAGATGGAACCCGGCATTTTTCTTTTAGATTATTTGTGAAATTTTCTTATTCCTCTTTTCCGAACTCAAGTCCGGATTCTCCAGAGTAGTAAATTGATCCTTTTATCGTGTCATCATCTAGTAATTGATAAATATATATAGAAATATATGGGAGAAAATTTTAAAAGCTCGATTTAAAGCCCGTTAAAACTCAAAATTCTAGCAGTATATAAAATTTAATTTATAGTAAAACCTGTTTAAATCGGTACCGAATATTTTTCCGGTTTTGGCAGGTTTCCGTTTCGAACAGATTTATTATTATTTTTTTTTAACATAGAAAATTTTTCATTTTATCCAGGTTTCGTTTTGTAGAGGTTTTACCATTTATTAATAAGTAAAATATAATTATCAATATTAATAAAATAAATATTTAATTAATTATTATAAATAATATTTAATATATTATTATATCCGTTTATTTTACATTTCAAAAGGGTGCGCTGCTGAACGTATTTATTATATAGCCCTCTGGTGTCGCCGATTGGTTGTTTTTTTTTATCGTCAGTTCGCGCTGGTTTCGTCATAGATAAGTTCTTTTTTTTATTTTCCCCGATCGCCGAAAGTATTTTATAATGGAAGGAATTCAATATTTAATTATCGATACAGGTAACATTATGACTTTAAAAGACTTACAAAGAAAAACAACTCAAACTCCAACAGATGAGGTAAATACGTAAGTGGTTNTTACAAGAGATAAACTGGAAATGTAATGTACAAAAGAGTCCATTTTATATAAAGATTGCCAAGGTTATCTTTTTTCTTAATCGTCATTTTTATCAATATTTAATCTAAATTATTTCATTAATATTAAATCTATAATGATTATTTTGATTCCTCTTACTTATTCTTGAAGAAATTTTGAGAATTGTATGTTTTAATTTTGTAAATTTCGAATAAAAATTGTGTTGTTTCATTTAAAATTGTTAATATATTAAAAGAAATGTTTACAATGCTATCGTTTTTTAAATATTAATACCTTTTATTTATCTTTTAAGCTTGTTATAATACAAAAATTCTCAATGTCAGCTCTTTAATAATATGACAGATATTTTATATCAACACTTACTGATACCTGAAATTAGAAGTGAAAATTGCTATTTACACTTACTTCTTTTATCTAAAGCAGATAACATTCGAATCAAAACCTGTAATAATAAAATACATAAAATTATCAGTAAAATAATTTTAAAAAAAAATTATTCCTATTGCCATTATTTTTAATTTGCTCACCTGGCACAAGACAACAAACGCTGTAAACGGTGCCGCCATCTTGTTGTTGAAACTGAAAAGAAAAGAATAGTGAAATCGTTTATGTACTTTACTTTAAAACGTGACAAGGATGACCTAGTCACAACATCACGATGATAAGGGAGTGGAATAATTCGGGTGGTTCACAGGAAAGGATAAAACACCCACCGAATGCCCTATATTCTAGACTAATATAGCAAGAAATTTATGAGTAAACAACATCTTTTTAAATGTTCATTTCACGAAAAGGGAAAATTCCATATCTCAGTCTAATAAATCTACAGAGAGAGTGCAGGGTCAAGGTTAGTGTCGTTAGCTGCATCCTGTCAACTAGAACATGTCAGAGGTGGGGGAAAAAAAGTCAAGGTTGTGCCATAGGTCCAATCATTTGCATTTCAAGAAAACTGTAAATTCTCATTTACTGTTATAATTTATATAGATGTAATTATGCTTGTTCGTTTATTTATATTACTCTTCTTTATATAAACCGTGCGTGAGACAATGAAATTCATAAATATCTTGCAAATGTAACAAGAATTTGCGTGGAAATCTACAATAGTTGTTTCGGGGTGGCATTGGGAAAATACATCTAAACGTATGAAAACGAAACAAAGATATTCGTAATTACTCATACTCAAATTATAATTATCTGATAGGATGATATGTAATGTCTTTAAATTTCCTTGACCTAAATACAACTGGATTCAAATGATAATAGTGGGTTAAGTCTTTAATCCTACCTGTCGCTAAAGGACAAACTTTTAAAGAGACGAATAATTATTTGTATTACAGTAGCTCATTGCATCCTCTTTAAATACATAATTTAAAGTTCGTTATGCTTTTACGTATGCAATTTTATATTATATCGTTAACAAAAGTATATAAACTCGTGCTTTACAACACGATTAAAGATGAATACGTTATCGGGATATCATATTAAATTTCAGACAATAAATTCGTGTTGTCATTTCTTAATAAGAAAAACAAATATATTCAAAAGTCAATAAATAAGTGGCTAAAATAATAAACATATGTGTAAGTAATTTAAACAGTACCAACGGCATTATTTATTAGTTAATATTTATGAAAATAAATGTACATGAACTGGCTGAATATAATTAAAATAATAAATTTCTAGAACAGTTATTCTCGTGTTGTCATTTAACATTGAAAAAAAAGCATCAAGAATGATTCAGAACTAAATTAACAACTCTAGATTCATACGCAATGAAGTCACGAATACACATAAACAAGAGTTACATTCTGATTATCAAACAGCAACCATTACTGAATTATACGAACGAAACAATACGAAAACTTACGTCTGTATTCGAAATAGATTCACTCATAAACAAGGTGATTTTTCAGCTGAAAATTTGAGATTAAAATATTTATCATTTAGAATGTCGAAGAGCTCGTTGTAAAGATATCATATCGAAAAATAAAACCCATGCGAATAATTTCGTAGAGATAATACCAAGTGAAAAGAACATGTAATGAATTAAATAGGAACTAATAAATTTTTTACGGGCTTAAATAATGCATTTGAAGACAGTCTAATTTCCTCTTCTAATACTACTCATTTTTTCTTGTATTGTTCTTTCGAGAATGCACTTAAATTAATTATTTTTCTTTCTTTTAGTCTCATAAAAGTTCAAAAGTATCAAGACACTAAGTTTTTATCAGAGCTTTCAGTCTCGGTGGGATCCCCGAGGAAGTAATAAAAATAACATTAGGACGCATGATTTACTTCAATGTATCCGGATACAACAAAATACTCTTTGTATATCTTTTTTTTTTTTTTCCTTTTTAATAAACGTCTTTAAATAGGGAAAATATTTCTATCAAAACATGATCTGTGTATAACAACCGGGAGACTTGGCCTAATATTATCCTATGATACTTCAGTACTGTGTCTGAATATTAATCTATCCTGCAAGGCCACTCATACGTGTAGATGGGGGGTTTAACTCCTCTATTTAAGAAGAATTTAAAAAATTAAATAATTATTTTGTAACCAAACACTTCCTTCTTAGTCTATTATATTATGTTACTCTACATACCTATATTGTAAGCTTAAAACCTCCTTTAACAGGTATCTTAAATATGTAAACGGATGCTAAACTTCTATCTTAAATAGTAAATTAATGAATTATGTGTAAATCTAGTCTGACATTCACAATAAAAACATGTTTCAGTATTATTTACCTTTAAAGACCTCTAAAGATTGTATTTTTATCAACTAAATTTGAAAGTTTATGCTGTCATTTTCTGGTTTTAATGTATGTAAATAAAGCGAGTATATATTCTAAAGATGAGTTTAATACTTTTAATAAATAAAAAAGAGAAAGTTGTTTAGTTTTTATTTTATTTCGTGAAAGTTTAAGTTATGTTTTATATCTATTTAATCCGACCAAACAAGATTCTGGGTGTCAAGGGCGTATTGGGTCGATGACCAAATGGTTCGACGCCCATTGACTTGAGCAAATAACTAAAGATAAATATCTGATAACAACTGTCAAAAATTTATCAAGGAAAATGTTAATCATACCGAAATTTTTATAAATTCGATATTCTATTAATGAAATTTTAATAAAAGAATATTCTGTTTAGCTGTAATTTTTTTTTAAAAATGTTATATAAAGTAATTACCATCCAATACATTTTTATAAATGAATTTATAGATGAAATAAAAATATATTAAAATGTCTGTATAATTAATTAATTAACGTTTAATTAGTTATAATTATTTACTATAAAATGATTAATGGCAACTGTTTAATGATGATAAAATGAATGTCATATCATCGATGATATATTACAAGTGAAACTCAGATATATATATTTTTTCTTTTTTTTTTTACATCTCCTTATGTTATTTAGGCTTTGAAAGTCTTAAATTTGGTATTACCGTAATTTTAATCATATAAATTACTATAATAAAGCATATTGAGAGGAGAAAAAAAACTGCCTTCTTCAGAAAACCCACGCTACTTAAAGGTCACTGGCAGTCTAACAGGTTCGTAGTCATATTTGGCAGTGTCTTCTTTCCACAAAACCTGACTTAAAATCCATGACTTTATAAGCAAAACTGGCCAGAAGGAATAAAATTTACAAATTTGTAGTCATAAAAATAATTACGAGAACAGGAGACGATTTTTTTTTAAATATTATTGTTATTATTATTATTATTATTTTAAACTGTACACAGAATTGGTACCAGCATAAATATGGGAAATTGCAACCTGCAACAGATAACCTAGAATCTATTTATAATTATAAATACAAATCACTTTTCTCTTCCTGTGTTTTTTTTTACAATAAATTCTACAATACATTTTAAGTGTCTTTTTTTTTCCTGTTTCATTAGAGAATAAACTATAAATTACTTACGTTTCTGTTCTGTTTTAAAAAAATAATAATAAAAAAAATTAAAATGCATATATTAATCATAAACTTAATTTACAAGTTTAATACAGAATGTATTTTGAGGGAAAAAGTAAAATGTTGAGTAATATAATTGGAAAAAAGTATATGAATCATTTTTATAAGGAAGCAATTTATGTTTTTTTTTTTAGTGTTAGTAGAAAGGTAAGAGCTTATTAATGTTTATAATTATTGTAGTAAATTATAAAACCTTCTTCAAATTATTATTATTTTTTAAAAAAAGTAAGTGTGTTGCTAACAACTTAATAAGTATTTAACATGATTTCGTACATTACCTCCCTTTAAAGAACTATAAACGTACAAAATTATATAATTCCTATACAATACCTTCATGTAAAAATCCTTATAAACTGATAAATCATTAAACTCTTCGTTAAGAACTTAGAAACATTAATAATAACCTATATTAATGTGTTTAGCGAATAAATCCATTGTTTCAGTTGTGAGGCAAATGTCATAATATCCTTTTTTTACACTTGAAACCCTTAAGGAATATTGATATGTTATACATAAAGAAATAAAAATAAATGTAAAAGATTATATAATTTTTTTCAACTTAATTACAAAAAAATATAAATAAATAATAAAATAATAAATAAACTTTTTTGAACTACAAATAGACTTTTATTTTCAACAAAATTTAAAAAAAAGCAAGCAAATCCTTGAAATTCTTATACTACATGATTATCTGTAAATTGCCTACTTCAGTGTTTAGTCAAGAAATAAATAACCACTTGTATCCTGTGTACAGATAGAAGACAGATGTAAATTCTCAAGGAAGTTTTCATTCTATTCACAATTCAACTAAAGATTTTAAGATGAATATAACCTTTGTCCAGTTTATAAATTAATCGAATGTCTCACAAGTAAAGTAATATAATTAAGCCCAGGAGAATTTAAATTTGGGGGTCCACTATATAGTATTGACTTCAGACTTGGGGAAGGGGGGAATATTTTCTTACGAAAGATTGATTTGGAGGCTCTCTGTTAGTGGGGTCCCCAGGCAATTGACCTTTTTGCCCATAGGGTGCTATTGCTAATTTGTTCCAAAGATAAGATAAAATGTCCCATTTATGTCAACTATGTAGGATAAAAATATCTGTAACTATAATAATTCTTTTTTTGTCATTTTAAAGTATATAAATGTGTAAATTTGATATAAAATCCATTAATTAAGCTGGAGGATTTCATATTAAATCAATATATAATCAATGTGTTATTAATTGATGATCCTCAATAACATTTTATGTTTTTGTTGTTGCCACGTACTTATAAATGTTAAAAATTGTGTAATTAATGATATTTTAATGTAAAATTGGACATTTTATTGTCATGGATGTTCCTCAAGTGACATCAACAAGTTCAGTTCATCAATTTATATAATTTCCCTCTCATATTTTAATATAGAACATTATACGTTACGTCTACTTACCTATATTTCTTGTTTTGATCGTTATTTATTCTAAATTTTACGAGAAATCCGAATATTCCACCAACACTGAGTAGCAGACGACATCTTCACGTTTGTTTAAAACATTCACCTGTTAACGCGATAACAGCGCCACCTGGAATTATAATACCTTTCACCTGTTCGCCTGTGAATATTTTTTTTTAACTTTATTATTTTATTTTAAATTTATATTAAAATTTTTCTATTTTTTACAAAGAAACTTTTAAAATACA